ACCACCCTGTAAAGTCAGAGTCTGGTGTGTGTAAAATTCTTAGACTCATCCGACAATATAGACAGATCATGACAGTACAGACCACTGAAGATGCTTTTAGTCACAACCCATTCTGTACGGCTGGGAGATGCAGCCTCAGTTTAATTAGCGCACATCTCTTCAGTTCAGAGACTCCTTGCAAAACTTCTTGAAGATTGTGTGCTCCCTTGTCATAGAGGAAGGAGGTAGCCCCTGGGAACTAGCCTCAGCCCTGACCCGAGCCACACAGTAGGCAGATTAAATTAGCGACTCCCATATCATCTGGGCCTTCGCCTGGTTTCCTGCTGTCTGCTGGGACTTGCAGGCATGTGCAGAGCACAGCATGAGATCCTGCCTCCGACCCTGTCTAACTCTGGCAGCAGGGAGGGCCAGGGTCCCTAGTTAGGGGAAGCAGTTGAGAAGCAATGGTTCTGACCCCACTGATTTCATCATCAGCTCTTGAGAGGGTGCTGAGGGTGTGGGCTCTGGCTGCCTATCCTGGCGCCTAAGGAAGGTTTAATCAGGAGTGAGTAGATTTGCATTGTTTTCTTTTTACTAGAAATTGTCCAGCCCACGAACAGATTCCTCACTGTTAGCCTTGTTGTGCTTTAGGTATTTTGTTTTCGGTGACTGTTCTTTTTAACAACTTCTGTTGCTTCCTCTGTTGATTGGGGTATATCATCATTCTTTATCAGCCATAGGGCCTATTTTCTCTTCCCTGAAATGTCCTTTACGCATCTTCTGGTTAACATTGGATTTCTTTGAGAATGAACGCAGACATTGCTTCATGTGAGACACCTTCCCCAGCATGTCCTTCCTCCATCTGTATTTGGTGTCTCTTCTTCGAGTTCCCACCATACAGCTCTTAGCACACCTCTTACCATGCTGTGGGAAATGGTTGCTCTATCTGTCCCTCCTACCACACTGCAAGGTCCATTGCAATAAGAACACCAGCTCCTCCTCGTCTTCCCAGCATCTAACATATAGCGTCTGGTAAACACAGAAACACGTGAATAAACCAGCAGTCATACTAGGTCAAATCATTGAAACGATTTCTGTTACAGGGAAGGAATTCTCTTTTCCATCCTTATAACTTGAAACTTTACACTAGAATGTCCACTCTTTCATAATAACTTCGCTACTGAAGAAATTTCCCAAAGTTCATGGAGGCCAAAGATTTGGAGGAAGCGAAACAGTATTATGAGAACAACTCCTCCCACCCATTTTTTGTCTTCCTTGACATTTACATCTTGTGTGATCAGAAATCTGTAACTCAAATGAACTGTTCATGGTAATGAGCTATTATTAATACAGTTCTGATTGAACACCTTTCTCTAAGAAGGTCACAGTGCTTTGCATACATTATCTAGCTTGTCTTCAGAACATACCTGAAGTGGGGTGACCACCTATTCAGAATTCACCATGGTCTGACAGTCCACAGCTCTGTGAGGTTGATTTTTCCCCTGCTGAGCCCAGGAAAGACTGAAACAAAGTTCAAGTCTGCAGTGGCAGTAGCTCAGTGACCACCACCACAGCTGTTTTGCCGAGCCTTCTGTGGAGTCTGAGCAGCACAAGCGAATTCTCTCAGCAGTTACACGAACACTGAGAGTCCAGTCTTAGTGTAATACGGGTCATAAAGCTACAGAGATCCGGTCTTATGAGAGTTAGGGGGAAGGGAAGATTACTTTCCCCTAAGGGGATACTGCAGGTGCCTTCAAATGAGGATGTGTCTGTCACCTTCAGTGAGTGAAGCATGCTGTTCTTAATTAAAGGCTCCTATGGCCAAGGTCCCACATTGGACATTTTATGGAGAAGCAGTGTGGTTTAGGGAAGGCATCATGGGATTAAGAGTAGGGATATCAGATTTGTGTAATCCCAGTTCTTGTTAATCACCTGTGTCCCTTCAGTCACTATTCCCTTCAAATCCGTCAGCTAAGAGCACTGACTGCACAATTTCCAGGTCTCTTTACAGATTTAGAGTAGAGGGGTTCTGTTCTTGCTGCTCCCAGATTTCTACTTCCCACCCTCCATGTGTTTCACAGATGACAGATGCATCTGAATGCTCTCGGGCTCTATTTGTGTTTCTCTTCTGTTTGTCCCTGTTTTTATGTGGATGCACATCGACCACCATGATGGACTGCATGCTCCCTGCGGGCAGGAGCCATGTTCATTTCATTTTTGTGTCCCATGCATAATGTAAGTCGGCTCACCTTGTCTCTCCTATATCTTGAACCTGTGAATCTTATCAGACTCTTTTCAGCAGATGAACCTGTACAAGTCTTTCCTGTCTTGAAAGAACAGATGCCACCACCCCCCATCCTCCACTGAGTTTCCTATTAAACCCCTGTGCAGGTGATCTCAAAATACATGGAGTCTTCATTCACCGTATCCACTGTAACTTGTCCTATTTTCCCCTCCACTTCCTGTGACCTGGTGTTCTCTGCCACTCCACAGAACCTACTACTGATAGATTCCCTGAAGAATTTTTTATTGCCAAATCCAAATTATTTGTCCCCTCACAGCCCTTGCTCTGGCTGACTGCTCCCTCATTCTTGAAACTCTTCTCCCCTGATGGCTCCCATGGGACCGGCTACTCCTGCAGCTTCTTCTGCCCTTTGCTCTGCCCTCCTTGGACTCCTCTTTCCTGGTATTCTGTGCAGTTCTGTCTTTGGCTCTCAGCTCTTTGCATGCTTCTTTCCCTCACTGACAGCTTCACACATAGCTGTGGCTTCACTGCCATGCTCAGGAACATTCTCTGTGGCCCTGTACCCTCTCTCAAGCCTGAGCCCCATGATTACAACTTCAGTCTGCATCCCAGTCACATCAAACTTAGCATGTCCAGACCTGTGCCCTTTAGCTGCCCCTGAAACTCCTTGCTCGCATTTTCCCAATTTGGGCAGTCATCCCACAGTCCACCTGGTGTACACATCTGGAGTTCCCCTTCTCTATCATCCCCACGACCAGCCAGTAGTCATGAAGTTCAGCCTCGACCAGTGTCACCTGGCCTGTGGCAGCAGCCTCCTAACTGTCCTCCTTGCCCATGTCTCCCTACTGTGATCCACCCTCCATGCTGCAGCCAAAATGGCTTTTCTAGAATTTCCATCTTGTTGCCTTTGCTACTTAAATTTTCTGTACCTGACCAGGTACTTTCAGACAAAATTTCAGTTCCTTAGCTTGCAAGACCCTCTGAGACCTGGGAGTTGCCCACCTTTACAGCCCCTTCCTGTGGTCCTCTGTGCTCACATTGAGAGCTTCCTGTGGGAAGGAACTGTCACCCTTCCACTCGCTGTGTCACTGCAGGGCTGTCCCATGGGTGTAACATGCTGGTCCCCCTTGGTTGCTGGCACGTCCAGGGATTCAACCCATATACCAGCGTGGCTTTCCTCACCAGGCAGGATTAAGTCCCACACCCCTGGACTCCTGTGCCAAAGTCTGTCCTGCCTCTCCCCACTCTCTTGCTAGGGTGCTTACTGGCTGTGGGCAGCAGTGTCTCTCCTACCCACGCCACACTGAGCACCTGAAGAGAGCACCTTCTTTACTGGCTTTTGTTCCCAGTCCTTGGCCCAGAGCCTAACAGAGGGTATCTGTTTCCTCCATACTTGCTGTACAACCAGATAGATGCATGCTGGGTGGATCACTTGCTCAGAGAGTCCCCCACCCAAGTTACTGGTCCTTCTCTCTATTACTCTAGAATAGAGGTCACATTCCTCAGCCCAGCTCATGACTTTCCACAGTTGACTTGTCCTGCTTTGGAAGAGGCAGCTCACTTATCCTCTTTCTTCTCCTTCCTCCTCTGTTCTGAAGACCCAGGCAGACATTAGGTGCACGTGATGCTGAGTGCCTGATAATAATTTCCCATGATGAAGGCACCAGAGCCAAGTGCCATCTCCCTTTATTTAAATTAGGTAAAACCCAGAGCTGTGGCTTGCAAATAATGGAAGTCCACTGGGGAAATGAAAGGTTCAGAGAGAATGGGACCCATTATAATAAAAGCATTTATACTGTCAGTGATTCCATCCACCCTGTGGCTTCTGTGTTCCTTGGGGTGCAATGAAATGTGAAGCAGGAGGCCCTTTGGAGGTGGTTTGAGGAATTGATTCTAATCGGAAATGGTGGTGGCATTTTATGATTGGAGCACACTCTGTGGACCAGGCACCAGGTGTGACCGGCAGTTTATGAAGAGCCATGGGACACTGGAGTCCAATGTAGCTCAGGACCTCAGCCCTGCTGTCTCAGTTTCTTACTGGACATGATTGGAAGGTGGGTGTCACCCTTCCTTCTGCCCTCCCCCTTTCTATCCTTCTTTCCATTCTTCAGTGGCTCGGTGTCCCTATTCTATATTTGTATTAGCATTTAATGAAAATTATATACTAGCATTTGAGTCAGTCAACTGCTAGATCTTCAGATTACTCATGAGACCTAAGAAAAACCCATGTAACAAACACAGGATGGCCAGAAAAGTCTGCATGATTTAATTTTATAATAATAGGTAACAATACCTAAGTTGTTTTCAACACATCTTAGCCTCTACTTAAGAAGCACTTTACATGCATTTTCTCATTTAATTCTGACAGCCCTACAGTGCAGGTGTTAGCTCCATCTCACAGATGAGGAGACTGAAGCTCAGAGAAGTTAAGACATTTGCCCGAGACTGCATAGCTGTAATAAATGGCAGAAGCAGTATTACCTATAATATAGAGGCAGAAACCATACTGAGTGGCAGAACCATGTTTAAAATTCAAGTCTGACTGCAGAGCCCAAGCTTTTAAATATGTGCTGTGTTACGGGGCCACGTGACTTAAAAGGGTTTGATTCCTGAAAACACAGGCCTGCTTTTTAACGTAGTTAATATTACCTGGGAGAAGTCTTGTTATTACTTATGTGCCCTTAAAACAGTATCAGAACTCAAATTGCTTCAGATTTCTGAGATTATTTTTACAGTTGTTCAATCTGCCTTTACTTTCTCACTTTTGTGTTTTTAGATGCATCATCCCATTCAGATGAAACCTGCAGATAGTGAAAAGTCAAACGGTAGGTGGTAACCAACTGTCTTGTTTAATAATATCTGCTTCTTGAAATGAAAAAGTTAGATGGGGGTGGGAGGAGGCGGCCCGGCTGCTCTTCTCTCTAGAAGAGAAAGCGCTGCTCCAGGAACCTTAGCTGTGGCTTGTGTGTCTAGAGGGATGCAGTCTCCACTGTCCTGTCTTGTCGATCTCTGGTGTAAAGATCATGAGGCTGTTAGAAGCAGTGGCTTTCTGTGTCCTTCTGTTTGGACTTGCCCTGTATAGGTGGTCCTGTGGCATTTGGCTCTCGTCTCCTCCAACAAAGCAGTATGGGGCTATCTCATGGGGATGCAGAGGACGTCAGCAAGAAAGGAACTGCCAGTGAAGACTTAGGCTGTCTTTCTGGGAGATTTTGGTTGTTGGTTTTTTACCTTTTCCATGTGTTTCTCTTGGACTTGGAGCCTGCCTTACTGTACTTTTCTCTAAATTGCACCGATACATTTACATTAGAATTCAGAGTTTAGTCTGCTGATGAAATAAACGTACACTTGGTGCAAAAATATGCATTTGATGAGGTCCATGAAATAATTGGGTTTTGCCTCTTCAAGACACGAGAGAGTTGATAGCCACATTTCCCTCTTTAATTTTTTTGTTTCATTTCTACAAACCTTCTGTCCCTGTTTTGTTCTATTAATTTACTGAAATGTATGTTAAAAGAATCTTCTACCATCCTAGACTGGAGAGCAGCTCTGTCCCATAAGACTGTCATAATCAGTACTGTTTCCTTCCAACAGGCAGTTTTGCACCTCATTAATTAGTAATCAGGGCAGAAGCCATGCACTCAGAGATCTACATATCTGCAAATGTAAATTATGATTGGGCTCTAAATCTCTCCACAAGGTATTTTTTGCTAATTGTAGTGCATTCCATTTTCTGGCTTCTCCACAGACTAGAAAGTTTTGAAGAAAATTCCAAGTCATATTTTGGTGCTCCCTGCCCCCAGCTTACTAGAGCTTGCTTCTCTCAGCTCTCAGCAGAACACAGTGGCCCATGCCTGTAATCAAAGCTGCCCAGGAGGCTGAGGCAGGAGGATCCCTTAAGCCCAGCAGTTCAAGGCCAGCCTGGACAACATACATATATAAAGAACGAACACAAAAATTTTAACAAAGCTTTTCTCTCTCTGGGAGGAGACTTTGGTGCTTTAACCACTGTCTTCTCCTTAGCCCTGCACTTTACTTAGGGTTAATTCCTCTTTTCTCTACTGCTTTATCACAAACTTGACTCTTAGCACCAGAAGGTGTCAAATCCACTGCTGCTGTGTGGGCCCATGACTGAGCAACACTGCTCCTACATTCACCAGTGCTTAATACATCAGTTACTGTGCACCAGGCATGTTGCTAGGGGCTGGGGCTGCGCAGTGAACAGGAAAAGGAAGAAGAAAAGAACCCAAGAGACTGTGTCTCTGACCTTCTGGAACTAATGTTCAGTCTACTGATTTAAGTATCCGGAAGTCACTTAAACACTGAACTTGAATCTCCGCATTTGTAAAATGGGATTAATGGTGACTGTCACACCTCAGTTGGCTTTCCCCTGGCCCAGGACTCAAATAAGGTATTTGTAACTATCTCTTTAATGATAGAACACGTCTATAAAATGCTGATTACTTTTTACACCCAGAGGTGGTCTCCCAGCCTCCGCAGGCACTTCACGGATCCTGCTGGCCTGCGAAAAAGACCGCTTCACCCAGGCTGGCTTCTTTCTGCCCTTGTGCACTGGAGGTGCTTCCTTGCAGTCTGATCAGTTCCCCAGTGGGAGAGAGGAGAGATGAATCTTCTATTTTGGGATGAATCCTGTTGATACGAGTCACCTCAGAGTGTGTGGCCACCAAGACATGCTCCCTGTCTTTGGCATAATTCTCTAAACTATGTCAGGACAAGGACCATGGAGTGAAAGCCTGTGGAAAGGGTTTGTCTCACTTCCGAACCTTTGGTTGTAGTTATAAAAACATGGCAAATTAGCCAAATGGAAAACATTTGACTTGAAGTATCCAATATTGAAACACAAAGGGATATTCTTCTTTTGCATTTTCTGCTGTGCAGATACTCATCTGCCTTAGAGAACCCTTTCTACAGGCAGCTGCCAGGAGTTTGCAGAGTGTTTTGCTGTTCTTTCTGTCCAGCGTCCACTCTGGCCCCTGAGTATCATGTTTGCTTTCAGTCTAGAATCACAGCAAGTAATAAAACTGTCACGGGCACTCCCAATTTTGCATGATGACAAAAGCCAAGGAGGATCAGGCACCTTTATTTCTAGGATGAGACGGTTACCTAAAAATGCTGTTTTCCAAGCAGTAGCCTGGAGTAGCAGTTAAGAACTATTTGGAGAAGCTTGGATTTGACCCCTGACTCCGTGCTGGTTGGTTTTGTCCTTGGGCAGTTATTTAATCTTACTTAGCATCAATGTCTCTTCAGCTGTAAGAGGAGGCACCAGTGGAATAGTATGAACATTTGTTGTAATGCCCGTCTTAAAAAGTTATTTGAGGTTTACGTCGGTTAAAATCTGTAAAGAGCTCAGCATTATACCTAGCACATACTAAGTATCCAGTGTACTAAGTTCCGCCAAGTTAACACTGTTATTCCCCTCACCGAGGCAGCCTTTTCAGTGCATTCTGAGGGGCAGAGGCTGGCCTATCCAGGCTTGGGCTGTTTATACCAAAGCATAGATCTGTATGTACAAATGAAAACCCCCAAGCCTTCTAGTTGGGCCAGTTCTCCTTTTGCTTTGTGTGTGGACCTTCATTTTCTGAACTTTGAGTAAGAAAGTTCAACAATATAAATGGACTGAAGGCTGCTTTTAAAGGGCTTTTCCTTCTAGAGGCCCAAATGGAACCTTACCTTGCATAGACAGGAAGAGCTTCGAGGTTCTTTTTGGACCTGATTTGAGGAAGCAGGAGAAATGTGTAATTTTCTAAAGCAAGTGATAAAAGCTGCAAGCCTTTTCTGATTTCACATGGCATTTTTGACAGGTAAGCATAGTTTCAAAAGCTCAGAGAGCACAAAGATTTCTTTGGCTCAGTTGCCCTAAATAGCTCCTGTAGTTTTGAAAGAAGTATAACGAGCTCTAATTGTACTTTTATTGAGTTTGCTGACATTTATGGAGAGCACAAAGGACTCATCACAGTTAGACAGTTACTGTCTTCATTATCACTGTGTTCAGATTGCTAAAACTTTGTATTTGCTGAGCAAGAAAGAGCTGCTAATCACAGATTAATTCACGATGGACAGGTGAACTCCAGAAAAGCAGTCACCCATGGTAGCTTTTGTCCATAGAGCCATTCTGAGAAAGGGAACCTCTGGGGTGAGCCCAAAAATGTTAGGTTGCGCCCAGGTCAGCCCTGCACTTGGGATTTCACTGGGCAGACCTCCTGAGTTTGCGTGGCTTCCCGGAACCTGCCCTTTCCGTTGGCTGTTATGTGAGCCGCAGCCTCTGGCACACTGATGGAAGCTTGTGGCCTGTGTTTCTTATTCACATGCTCCCGCAGGGTGAGGTTGTCCAAAAGGAAAACAGTCCCACTCTGGAGAAGCAAAAACTTCTGGGGCTGCTAAGAGGAGCCCACTGAGCAAACACCTACCTTCCAACAGAATCCCCCTTTCTCGTTATTTTCCCACTGCAAAAAGTTGAATGGTGGAACAGGCAGAGTGTTTGAAGAGATGTGGATTTCAGGCACCCTCATGAACGAGCAGAAACTTAGTTACTCTCTTTCATTCTCTATGCCATCCAGCTTTTAATCCTCTGTTGCTATGCCCACCAAGGTACCAGCTGTGCGTGATTGAAGGTCACAAGCAGTTGCTGAAGTTTGGCTAGGAGTGAGCGATGCACACACAGAAACTGCTCTGGTTCTGGGTCTGGGTCTCGGAGGCTGGGGCCAGTACTCACTCTGACGTCTTGCCTCTTGTCACAAGGGGAGTTGGTTGTTGTTTTTACTCTGTGTCCAGAGCATAAATCCATCCATCCTGCTTTAACCCTGCCTGCAACCTCACAACTTGCTGGGGGTCCTTAAAGCCTAGAATTCAGAAATGCCACTTAAGGCTGCTGTGTGTGTTTCTCTGTCAAGGCCCCAAAACCTCCAGTGTCCACGTGTCAAGTTCAGAGCTAGCGGGAGTGGAGATAACTAAATATTGTCAGCAGAGGGTGCAGACCTGCAAAGCCACCATTAAAAATAGGAATCACAGGGTGGTTCCACCCAGTCACTTTCTGATTCACTGCAAGATGAAGAAATAATTTTGAAATTCAAAGTGGAGAGACTCACAGATTTGGAGGCAGTAATTAAATGCCATATGTTAGCACTAACACATTGAAAAGTTGTTAATTAATTCAGGCAGCCCCAAATCCAGGTGTGACTTTGACAGATTGTACACCAGGGTGTTAGCACAGACTTACAATTAGGGATTTTTTTTAAAATGAAGTTTCTATTCCCCTAACTTAAAAAAGTCACCTCATACATTTAAAGTATTAACCCATTCTTCTCGTATCGTGGAAGGAAGACTTTAAATGGCAGAACCCCTTTTGATTCTGTGATCATCGTTACTATTGTGGGGGGACGTCATCTGTGCAGCACTTCATATGTAAAAGCCTTTCCCTGCCCTCATTCAGTGTCTGTCATGGAAAATGACTTTGCCCCTAGAGGGCAGGGACCTTACTTTTTAAGTCTTTTTTTTTTTTTTTTTTTTTTTTTTTTACTTCCTTAAAGCACCTAGCAGAATACTCTGAACACATTACATTTTATTCAAACAACTAACTTCTGTAGGTTGAAAAAAATAAGTGACGTATGTAGTGCCAGTGAAAACTCACCAAGACAGTCATCAAAAGTTGATGAAAAAGCCAAGTGAATTCAAGATAACTGTGTTTTTGTAGAATGTTTACAAAGCTGTTAGGAACCCTAAGAATGGGAATTGGGATGAATTGTATGACGAACGTGTCACTGGAAAACCAAAAGTCAGAAGAAAGCTGGGTGTGTTCGGTATTCCCCATTTTGCCTTTAAAGCAAACACAGCCCAACTGTCGAAACCACAGAACAACACTGGCTAGTAAGAGAGTCCTAAAGCCCAGCACTTCCGTGCACACGCAGTCAGCCCACACACCACACACACACACACACACACACACACACACACACACAGACGGAAGTTAACGTTTCGATAACATGGATGATGGAGGTTTCCCTTTTTTTTCTTAGCTAATACTTGCTATTTTTAAAAGTGGGAGTTATCTTCCTTCTTGTTGCCTGGCCGAGGTGACCCTGAGTGATGGCTAGAAGTCAGCATTTATTCATGAGTAGTTTCCATTTTCTTCATATTCATCTTGAAAAAAATCATTTTTTAGCTTACCCAGGAACTGCATGTTTAATTTACTATGGCATCCCCCTGAAGCTCGAAATCTACAAATTGTTTTAGCTAAATACCATAATTATAGGTTTACCAGTGAAACCAAGAACTTAGGGGGAATTTTTCATTTGCGTCTGTTTAAAAGAACTAAAACCAGATTGTTCAGGGTAAGAAGGAACACAACAGGATTTTTTTTATTACTCTCATAAAAATGTCAGCCATATTCTGCTGGGGGCTGGAGTTGGAGATAAGAGGGAAGGAGGAGTCAGGGTGATTTTTTTTTTCCCCCTATTCTACCCACTTCCCATCCCATCTGTCCCCTTCCCCTTCACAGGAATACCGCGTTCTTACAGGGTCTCCCCCACCAGAATCCTCCCGGGTTAGTGAGCACCAGTGGTATAGACAGCCTGTAGCAGGTGGTGTGGACAGCCTGCAGGTGACCTCCTTGCCCAGGATATCTGTTGTATGACTGGCATGGTTGTCGAGCCTGTGCTGCCCATGACTAACCGGGCTTCACCAGCTCACAGCAGATCCATGCTACTTTGCTGTCTCTGAACAGGGGAGAAAGAATTTGAATTGGAAGTTTTCCGTTGGCATATAGGAGGTCAGGTCCTCAGTAGCCTCCCTCCCAGGAATTGGAGCCCACGGTGCCTGTTACCCATGTCTCCTCTGAGTCTTAACACAAGCAGTGGCTCGGGCCACCTGATGCTCCTCGTTGAGCTCCCGTGCAGCTGAAGCAGAAGGGGCATGCTGTCCTAAGGTCAAGCTGTTTTCCTCTGTCCACCCCACACAAGGTCCATGCTACTCCATACTCTGCACCTTGCCTGGTGAGGCCCTCATTCCCCTCCCACCTGTGGTCTCTCCATACCCTTCATCCAGCTTGAATTCTCCATCTCCCAGCAAGCCTTTCTCAGATATTCAGGTATACAATTCATAGTTGACAAGTATTGTGGAATTGTGCTTTCAACGTGCATTCCTTGAGACCTAGAGTTTCTGAGGTGTCCCAGGAGCTGTCACAGTATAGAGACAGCTATGTGGAAGAGATTCTGACCTCCACTCACTGTCCCCCACCTCAAGAGCTCCAGTCAGCCTGAGTACGACATGGGCCACCTTCTCTCCATTACTGGGAGAAAGAAGAATTCAAACCTTCATTCCATGGATGACAAAACAGAGGTCCTCAGAGGTCAGCCTATTATCCAAGGACACTCATCAAATTAATGGCAATGCCAGACCTGCAGCCTAGGTCTCCTACTCACAGCTGCCCTCCCCTGTGAGCTGCCTCTGAACTTGGAGGAGACACAGCAGGGGAAGGGATGCTGGCCTGGGAGGAGGACTTCAGGCTGCGGGCCAGGCTGGGTGACCCTAGCAAGTCCCTCCCCCACTGGACCTTGGGAGATCCTTTGGAGACAGACAGAAGCTCCCTTCGGGTCTGGAATTCTATGAAGAGGAGCCTCTAGCTCTCTCCTCTAGGCACCTTAGGGCTGTGCTGTCCCATGTAGCAATCCTGTGGGGCTCTTTAATTAAAATTACATTTTAGAAAGCACTTCCTCAGTCACACCAGTCCATTTAGGTGCTCAGTAGCCACGTGGCTTCAGCTTCTGTGTCGACAGCTCTACGGTAGAGGAACCCACCTGGTACCGATGCACCTGCCCCAGCCCCTTCGCAGCTCGGACATCAGCTTGAGTGTCCAGAAGGAACTGGCCCCAGTAAGTCTGGGATAAGTGCTCGTCGGTTAAATGAAAATGAGATGCTTCCTGTCCAGGATAGGCATAAAAGGAAAAAAAAAAAAAGAAAAAGAAAAGCCAATTAAATAAGAATGACAAGTTGGTAATGCAGATTCAAAACAAACATTTATGTGCAAGTGGCTTAGGGCAGAGCCCTCCTGTAGGCTGGGACACTCTTTAGTCTGGTGCAGCTGGCTTTTTTTTTTTTTTTAATTCTAAAAAATAGATTGAAACGAAATGATGGCAAAGCAGCAGGACTTCTCCCCATGGGTGTCTGTGATGTCCTAAAAAAATAAAGACACCTCTCCTAAAAAAAGACTCCAAATGCTGTCAAATCAGCTTTAACCTTGCCTTTCAGGCTGAAAGTAGTTCACATGTCCTGAGCACAAGCACGGAGATTTTGAGTAAAGTCTCCCGGGCCATATGAGGTAGACCTTGCCTTACCTTACCCACTGTCAGGTGCCCAGGTTCAAATTTCATGTCTTCCTCATAATCCCCAAATGCACTTTTGTTCCCCGAGAATCTTGCCTCCCAGTGGTTAGCACAGTACTGTTCCTTCCTTGATCTTTTGTGAAGGGCTAGAGCTCAGGGCCATCTAAGGTATTTCTCCAGCAGCAGCCACCCCATTCTCCTCCCTAGAATTGGCTTCCTGTTGAGCTGTTACTAACATGGCTGGTTAGAACCAGGTATGGGACCTGGTTAGCACGGAATCACCCATGTCACAGGAAAGAGGTACTTTCCTAGCTCCCCAGAGAAGTGACAGTCTCTCTGATACCTTATTCTTGTCTGGATCGGCAGGGATGAAGCTATTTGAAACAGAAAAAATGTTTTCTTCCCTTGAATGCTTTGTTAAAAGTTTCATTCGCTGTTTCACTCCATCCAGCCCTGTTGTCTTTCCTCTCCTGACCTTTCTCTGTCCCTGTCATTCAGGTTAAAAGAATGTCTACAAAAAAAAAAAACAGAATAAAATCTGTATCCAAAAATATCCCCAGGGAATGGTGGTGTTAAGCAGTTATACAGTACCTTGAAATTTTAGTCACCACATTACTATTAGTTTCTGGATAGGAGAGAACTTAACAGCATTCCATGTTGTATTAAAACATTTCATTAATAAGAACAAGCGCACAGGGAGAATGAGGCATTCAGGAAGTGCCAGGTGGGAGGGATCGGCAGGGTGGGGCGCATGGAGGGAGAAGAGTGGCTGGACATCTGCAGAGTGGGCTTTGGGACACGTGCTTGGTCTCACATGGCTGGGGCCTGGTTTGATGGGGTAATGGAGCATTGATTGCAAGAAAAAAGATGAAATGGCCTTTGCTCATTCATTATTTTTATCTCCTAGCTGTGGAAGACAGAAAATTGTTCATAGGAATGGTTTCGAAGAAATGTAATGAGAATGATATCAGGGTGATGTTTTCTCCATTTGGCCAGATAGAAGAATGCCGGATCCTCCGGGGACCCGATGGGCTGAGTCGAGGTGAGTGTGCTGTCTGTAAAGCCTCTCCCCTTAAGTGCTAATTGGAGCTCTGTGTCACAGTCGAGACAGATGTAGGCACCACACACAGCAAGAGGTCACCCTGTAATACATCCCATGTGATAAAGTTATCCAACCTGAACTTTTCACCATAGCTGAAATGATCACCTTTTATTTCTCAAGTTGAGAAGGTCTTGGTGCCACTATATTAGCTCAAGTTATCACTGTCAGGTGCGAAGCCAACGGGCTGCCCTACTGCTCGGTATCCTTTTCAATATCAAATTGAAGTGGATGTCGGGGGGCAAGAAGGAGAGGTAGAAAATGAGAAAGGATATTTGTTGTTTTCATCTTAGTCTTCAGGCTTTCTGCCTGTGCCTGAAAGAAATGTTAAGAGTATGGTCCTCTTCACAGTGACACAAACCAGGGAAACAGCATCAGTGTTCACACACAGTGCAGAGCAGATAGGAATGGGGGGTAAGTGGGCCTGTCTTGGGGTATTAGAGTTTTATTTCAGAGAGCAAAACTCCAGGAGTCCTGAACCATGGGAGCTCTTTAAGTGACAGAAAAATGACTTTTCCCTGAAGAAGGTTGTAGGCTCTTCTTTGCCACCATAATAGAAGCAAAACCTGTAGCTGAGAGCCTTGAGGATAAGCCAATATTTTTGCGATCAGCTATACAAAATATTTGGAAATCACCGTTCTCTTCCCTGTTGGCCTCTCTCTTGACAATGCCACACGCCTCCTTCCTGAAACCACTCATAAAGGCTGACACTGGAGGTTGACAATTCGTCTGACTGCCGTTACCTGAGTCAGTCCGAGGTGGAAATGTGTATATGAAATGTGTTTTTCACTTCTTGCAAGAAATCCATATTTTTAGCAACACGGAGAAGGTTTTCATTCTTTTATTACCGTAATTACCAGTGCAATTTCTGTGGGGCAAATGAGGAACTTGGTTTCATTCTCAATCTCTGGCTCTGGGCCAGCACTGGCACCCCAAACCACGTGTTGAAAGAAAAGATCGGGTCATGAGGATGAAAGCACGAGTTTTCACCCCTCTCACTAGTTATACCTAACTTCAGTACCATGTGAGGAAGCACATTTGTTCTTTTGATTTTTAAACATAAAGCTTCATGATGTCAGCTGCCAGAATGGAAGGCCTGGAGAACAAAAGTGCCCACCTACAGCCACCTCCAGAGCCCCAGTATGGAGGTAGTCTAGAGGAAAACAAGGAGGAGGTGGAACCACGCCAAGCTTTTGATTCCTGTGTTTTCTTCTGAAGGTGGTTTAAAAAAAAAAAAAAAAAAAAAAAAAAAAAAAAGGCGGCATGGAAATCACAGTTTATGCATTCTCTAACAATTCTGAAATTTGTGTTATATAACACTCACTTAAAAGATGTGTTCTCTAAAAGCTGAACAAGCCATTCTGTTGAGTGTGATCCTGGATTAGCAGATCAGTACCTGGGGCTCCTCTGCAGCTTTTCACCTGTGCCATCATCAGGGGCAGGCAAAGCCATCCATCGTTGTGATGGACCACACCACCTCTGGCTCCTGAACAGCCTCACCAGCCAAGGGTTGCTAGTATTCCTTCCTAGTGACTCAAACCAGCAGAGCTTCTGATCACACCTGGTTGTCCAGTTCTCCTGCAGTCGTTCTATATATATATATCCACTTAAAGAGACAAACTAGGAGAGAGAGTACTGTGGGAAAAAGTGTGGCTAAGCAAAGAATAAAATACATAGATATGATTATAGTTTTGTAATCCCTTTTCTGGTGCCAATTTGGTAATTAGAATCCCTATTATCTTCTGTTGTTATTCTCAATCACACTTCAGTGTAACCCTTGTAATTTTCATTCTCTAAGGTAAGGAGAAATGGCACAAGGAGAGCCCTTAAATTAATCATGATGAAATATATCATGGCTCAGGGGGCACTGACCCCAAGTTCCAGTCCCACAACTTCTACTGAAATGAAATAGAACTTCAGTAATTTTATTTTCTGACCTCTGCCCTGAGGTTTCCCCATTTGTGAATATGTCTGCCCTGCTCCTCTTGCAGGGAGTCACTCGTTACTGGTGTGGTAGCTTTCCGCCTGCGCATACTATCTACATGGGTTAGTGGAGGGACCCCGGGTGGGCAGTATGTGTGCTTGATTTCTGCTCCCCCTCTGCTGACCTCGCTGCTCTAGGCAGTGACTCTCTGGCACACTTTCTCTGTCTGTCCAGTGGGGACAGTAATGAACAGCATTGCTGCCTGCAGCGTTCCAAGCTCCTCGAGCATACATCAGTTATTTCTGCAGATCAGGTTTTAAAGCAGCCAGAACCTCCATGGGAAAGAGCAGGACACACAGTACTTAACAAGAGAACTTAGCTAATTTGATCTGCCATTTGGTTGATTAACCAGCACTTGACACCAGAAGCAGCCTGTTCCTGCAACAAGTGACAGGGAGCATTCTCATCAATATTTTATGCAAATGCTGGCTCAACGTAAAGAAGAGGAAACTCCTCCCTCCCTTTTTTTTTTTAACAGCAGAAAAGTAATTTCTGGTGAATTGATGAGAATTCCCTATTGCCAAAAAAAAAAAAAAAAGGAAAATACCCATTTATAACTATTCTGAGATATAAAGACAGACAATGGTACGTTTTTCGATTAGCAGCACCCAGGGACTCTTGCCTACAGGGGCCTGCTCCTGAATCAGTGTATTTGTTAAAAGAACAATTCTCTTTCATGCTGCCATTTTACTTTCATTAGAGAATTGCAGTTTTCAATCCAATATTAGTAAGTGTCTCCCATTAGTGGCACTGCAGATGAAGGGCATTCAGCATTTCTGTTCTTAATGTCTATTGCTGGCTCAGCTGTTTAAAAATACATAAAAATTAAGAGAGAGAAAAGCTCTGCAAAGTACCTTCTAATACAAAACCAGGGTATACCCTCTTATGTGAGAAAGTTTTAAAATCACACTCGTGGATTCTGGTGAGCGAGCAGTGCAGCTGAGTGGTTCACCTTGCTTTGTCTGCCTTTGCCCAGTTCGCTACAAGGATGAAGACAAAGGAGGCACCTAGGCTAGCTGGCTCCTCACAGATTTCTAATGTCATTTCTCCCCCCCCCCGGCTTCAGTAGTCTCAGGCCCTTCCTAAGAGGCATTAGACTGAGGTTTCTCGAGGCTGGCTGACTCAGTTGCCCCACTGTATCAGAGAGGTGCCCTGCCCTGACCAACAGTTGTACCCATCAAGCCGTGCTATACTGTCAGTTAGAATCAATCCTTTTTTTTTTTTTTAAGTCGTGATCTACCTATTGGCAAGAAAAAATACTTTTAAAATCCCATCATTATTCACCAGCCCCGGCCCATGTTCCAGGGCAGACACCCTCAGGAAATTGTCATGACTCTCTAAGAAAGCACCTAACACCTGCCAAGCACTTGGAGCCACTGGAAGATCTGAGGACGCTTCCTGACTTGAGGCAGCGTGGCCATATCTCAATATGCATTTCTCTCTTTGGGAAAGTAACCCCTTCTGCATCTTCTCTCACTTGGAAAACACTGAAATGCTTCCAAGCAACTATGGGAGGCTCAGCTCCTTCTGCAGTGGCTGCTCAGCTTCTCCAGGCCTGCTGAAGAAGCCTTCATGGAGAAAAAGAGCAGGATGCCGTGGGCCCACATGTGGCAATTCAAATGAGGAGTTTGCTCTTAAAAGCAGAGCCTGAACTTTCTAAGCCAAATGTACTTAATTGACAGCATCACCTTAGCATGCTGATTTCCCAAAATACACATGCTCTCACTTACCCAGAATCCCACAGTCAGCATGAGCTATTTAGGTAGAGGGTTTTCTGCACCATTGCAGTTGAATATCTGTAACCCAGAGACAGTAAAGGAGTTTATTTCGTTCCCCACCCCCCCACAAACTGTGGACAAATCTTCACTGCCATTTAAGGTAACTTCTGCTTGTTTAAGAATATTCCAGCTGTGTTTATGTGTTCCAACATTCCCCTGCCAAAACCCTTGACAAATGGATTGGCAATATTTTCAGGGATGTTGGCAAGTACAGACTGGATTTAGCTATTAAATCCTCATTTGTTTTTGTCATATCTGATCAGGATACCGGGATAGGCTTTTGACTATTACAACATGTACATAGTACTTGGGAGGCTGAGGCAGGAGGATCACTTGAGCCTAGGAGTTCAAGACCAGCCTGGGCAAGATAGCAAGATGCAGTCTCAAGACAACAACAACAAACATGTACACAGAATCATTTTTCACACATTTTGGCTCTGCCCACACAGTACCTAAACATTCAGATGTGTGGGAACTTTCATGGCATGCCCCCTAGACTCCTGACTGCATTTGCCATCTTGTTCCAAATACAATCTTCCAATCTTACCTCAGTGATGAGGTTTTGTCAGGTATTAAATAGGTTCCAGTCTGTACCCAGCCTCACATCTCATAAATGAATGATGTCTGCATGTCAGTTTTAAATGAAGTAACCCAGCATCAGCGATGGCACATCAGAGTATTAATTTTTATGCCCCAAGATTATAAGGGTAACATATGTTTATGTTACCATGACCAGCTGCATTCAGATCTTTCTTTGGCTGACTAGGCATTTATAAAGAAGTTTTCCATAGGTTAAAATCTCCTTTGTACTACACGAGTTAAGTTATACTTCTTTCACTTGAAGTATAGCGGCTACTACACCTTCTTCAAAGAAGTAGCACAGAAAGCAAGAGGCCCTGGCATTGTTCATGCTTTTAAAAGTACCTGTACTTTTCTTTTCTTTTCTTTTCTTTTTTTTTTTTTTTTTTTTTGGTGCAGAGCAAGAATTCATCTAGTTCTCAGTTCTCTTGCCGCTGAGAAAAAAGATGGAACACCTGAGTTAAGATATCCTTTCAATTGAAATGACAAGTGTAATAGATGTGTTCCAAAATCTTCTCTGTGACAGGGCTACGTGCTTTCCTTAGATCTTGTCTGTAGGAGGAAATTACTTTGAGAAACCTTTCCCCAGTCAATCATTTATCTGTTTTAGCAGCAAGAAGGCATCCTCACTGAAATGAGAGGAATGCAGCTCCTTTCATTTCTGTTGCCAATCCCTAACATTCTGAAAGCAGAGATAATAAATAATTGCAAAGGTAAATTGCAGGTTGGCCAAATTTACAGATTTTTTTTTTTTTTTGCTACTATATATGTGGAGGTTTTCAGACAGTAATAGACATACTATCTTACCAGAATCCCTCCCCACCAAAAAAGAAAGAAGTATGGCTTCGTTATTTTAATACCTGTATCTTTTTTCCCCCAGCCTTGTTTCTCCGGCATTTTGGTCAGTAGGCAAAGAGACAATTGCTGAGACATGGCATTCAACAGTCTAGAATGGTTAAGGGCTGTCCCTACAAGATTAGAGCCATTGTCTTGTAAAGACCCAGTGAACACCACTGCACCCAGAAGCACATGTTTAGTAGAAGAGAGGGACAGTTAAAACCCAAGTTACTGCTGAACGATGGAAAGCCTTCTGTTAGGCTTGACAGAAAAAGCCAGCAGCCAGTCTTAATGGTAGGGACTTAGGTAATCCTGTGTTAGTCTAAAGCCATAGATTGGAGGCCTAATCATAAAGCCACCAGTGTGTTTTCATTGGTATTGAAAACTAACATCTATCCGTAGGATTTACCATGACCTCCTGTTTTAGAGAAATAACAGTGGTTAACAAGCTACCATTGCAAGAAACATTTGACTCTGAAGTTGCTTGACTTCATCCAGAGTGACACTGAGAATGACATTTTTCAACACGCTCTCCTACTTTATAAATGACACCGTAATGTTTTTCTCAAGTAATTGAACACAGCACACAGTGCAGAACTTGACAGAAGCCCCTAAGGAGACAGTTTCTCTTACTGCATCACTGCCAATAGAATTAAAAGATTAAAGAAGTCCTCCGATGTGTCAGATTATTTTTTGGGTGGGGTAAGGGTTGCATAATTAGAAGCGTCAGTCAGGCTTTTAATTGCAGGTTTGTTAGAGGAAAGGGCAGTGATTTGAGTTTCTAGGAACAGGATTGTATTGTTCTATTGGTAATGCTTTTCTTCTGAGACCTGATAATTGCTGTATCTTTCTCACTAAGTTACTTTAAAAAGTTCTGCTTATATGAAATTGTGGCAAATGCATAAACTGTGCCTTATTGATTTTTGTTGACATTTTATATGTTTCTTACACATTTTTAACCTCCATTTGGAAACTCAGTTTGGCACATGGTGCTGGATAAGAAAAACAAACGAAGTGAATGCAGCAGTCTTTTTAACTATTAAAAGCAGAATTAGTCCAGGCTCTGCTTGGTTTCAAATCTATCTCCAGTAGATGATTTGCTTTTTCCTCCATTGTAGTTTCAAGATAAGAAGTGGAAAAATAAAAATCTTTTAGTGTAATTCCTCTGTTAATAATGCCAGAGATGATGAAAATGCTTCTGAAGAGATGTTACTTGGAAACAGATGGCACATTTGGACTGGATCATCTCAGAGCTCAGCATCAGTATGGAAGCCAGTGGAGGTCCTGTCCTCTGTCCCACACTTACATCATCTAGCTGCCTTAGAGAAGGCCACTAAATTGCTTTTATGGGTGAAAGAAGCTCCAGTCAGTCTTAGTACAGGTAGTGTGTTCAAATAGTAAGCTTCATCAGCTGCTGTGTTGTCGGAAAACCACGAGACAGCTCAGCATTGACCGTGAGCTGGACGTCATTCAGGCTTCTTCAAGCCAGCTTAGCCAAGAGGCGAATATGAGATGAGTTTCTCATGCACTGAGAGTTTTTCGTATGTTAAAAATTACAGCATGATGCAAAAAAAATGCATTGACTTATTTTCATGACTGGATGTCGTTGTGCTTTGGGGGTAACGGGCAAGCATTGCTTTCTCTTACTGCTGTTTGATTAAAAGGTGCTATGACAGTATTGACTTGATAATCTCACCAGGTACTCGTGCAGAGCAAAAAAGAAGAAAATATATTTTATGGCTTACAAATTGATTTACATAAACCAAACAATCTGCTGGTTGTTGGAATGCAGAATGTTCTATTGTGCTTATTGGCCACAGGGGCAACAATCTCGCATTGTTGATGCCAGAATTCTGCTTTTCATGCATTCACTCTGAAATGACAATAGGCTTCAGCCTCTCAGTGTTTAGATTTGCTTCATTTGGAGATCTTTTAAGTAGTAATAACAATGTTTTGAGGAAATTGAGTGGAACACTAAATTATTCTCTGATACCTAAGTTCAAACTGTGCAAGGCTAAAGAAGCTGAAAATCAATGCACTTTTAAAGCCATTAGAGATCATAAGTGAAATAAGTCTGCGTTGCTTTAGCTAACCTTTTAGTGTGCTATGGTTTTATTAAAATATCAGCCTGAATCTGCATTAATTTCACAGTCTTTTTCTCTAAGAAGCCCAAGGGTACACGATGAATAAAATGTAAATTTGAGAAGGCAGTGTTTTTATTAGTGAAAAGGGCAATGAGCCGTGTAGTTGGAACAGTGACCTGCATGGTGGCCAGCACTGGTACAAGGAGCAGGAACAGGCACTACAGAGTCTAGTCATTTTACAGCACAAGAAAAAACAGGCATGGAAAGTTTCACTGGTCTCCCGGTACATATTCAGAGAAATGTGCATTGTCTTGTGTATGTTAGACTTGAGGTCAAATCTTTGATATGTTTCAGAAATTCACAAGTCTCAAAAGTCATGAAGATTTTATGCAAATAAATGCCAGTGCACTTTTTTTTACATTTTACTTTATAGCAGTGTTGAATATTCTCGGAGTAGTACAGCATTTGTTTTTATTAATAATTAGTAATTACTAAATAGTTTGTAACAGATTTGGTATATTTGTTTGTATTTGCATAGCAACAATTTATATTTATACATATATATTTTTTTAAGCTACCTAGAAGGTATTAGATACATTTATTTGCTGACATTTTGAGCTCTTGAAATTTATTTGCTAATTTGCTCTTGGTGTGAGGATTTCCTTATTTGTCCCTTTAAAAATCAATGACAAAATTTGAAATGCAAAGCCCTCATGTGTGGATGCCCTCAGTAAAAATCATCAGTCAAGGAGAAAATGGAAAATAGCAACTTTTTATTTTAGAAAATGCAAACTAGATCTTGCTGATTTCAAACCCTGTGGCTAAAAACAGTACCCAACTTCCTCCCCTAGTTTCCATTAAAAAAAAAATAAACTAATAAATAAATACATCTTTCTGCTTTGGTCAGATTAGCAAGTCAGCACTGTGAATAAAAAGCAAAATAAGATAAAACCAAAGAGAGAAGTTGTTTATTTTTATGTACTACTGAGAACAGTGTCGTCTTGTGGCAGTTCTCGTAGACTGTGTTGGTTTAACAAGCGTCCAACCCTTTTGTCTTGTTGTTTTTTGTCTTTCCTGCTCCCTGTCCCCTTGTTTCCCACAGGCTGTGCGTTTGTCACATTTTCTACAAGGGCAATGGCACAGAATGCAATCAAAGCCATGCATCAGTCTCAGACCATGGAGGTACTGTATCATCTGCCCTTTCTTTGTTTTCTTTGTGCAAATGATGGGGAATGGTAAAGCAATTCTCTCCTGTGTGGATTGTTCACATGACAATCACAGATGTAAACTTTCACCATCTCAGTTTTTATTCATTCATTCTCATTCTCATTCTCTCTCTCTCTTTCCCTCCCTCTCCCTCTCCCTCACCCCCACATTTTTCCCCTAATGACTTGAAATGCATTTAGTAAAACCTTCCACTTGCTCTCCAGTTATTTCTTTGAGCCTTTTATTGCAGTGGCACGGGTCCTGAGGTGTAAAATTGTGAGCACTTTAAGCAAAGTGTCATTCTAGACCTACAGGATCAAATATGTTCCCCACCCTGGGGTCAGTGTGGATAAAACAGTAACAGCCCGCACCCCAAATTGCTGCTTGCCCTGTGCTAAGTCCCAGGGTTCTTTCTTTTGTACACCGTCAAGTTACTTTTGATCTAGTCAAACAGCATTGTGTTTTTACATGAAGACTGCTGGAGAAAGTTGTTATTTCTCCCACTGCATTTAACAGTGTAAATGCAAATTTGGAAAATAGGATTTGTCTCCTTCCTAAAAATGAGCAATAACTAAGAAACATAATAAAGGCTCAAATGTGGTCTCCTAATGAGAGATCATGGCTTTAGGGGAAGGTGAATACCCAGGTGTGGATATACGCCCACAAACATAGATAGATGGCTCTATACTTTTAGTCTGTGATTTGGGTCATGGCCTTTCAGAATTTTGCACAAAAGCATTCCAAGAGTGATATGCCGTTACTTCTGTATTGTCTGATAGAATCATTTGGGAGTGCATGTTCTGCTGTATTATGTATACTGTATCTTTGTGTATGGGTGATCTTTTCCGGAGGTGGCCTTGTGGTGTTATCTGAAGCTATGTTTTTATATTTTGGAAAAATATATTTTCAATTTTATTTAATATGCAGAAAACTTTTTTCTGGATTGAGCTTCTGTTTTACCCCTGTTTTGTTGGGGTTTTATTTTTTGTTTGTTTGTTTTTGTTTGTTTTTTGCAATGCTGCATCTCCCAAAGCATGCTGGGAGCCAAGTGATCAGTATGCGTCATGTTCTGTGGGCAACTTTTTTTATAGTGAATCGAAAGGTGGGTGCAAAGGGGGGAAGGAGTGTGCATGGCATTGTCATTCAGTGTTGACTGTACTTTTCTGACTTGTGATACCAGCATTGCAAAGCCTATTGTCTTTTTCAAACATTCATCTTGACTTTGATATTCCTAACATATCTTATATAATCAATGTGTTTTCCTTTCAGTGCAATGCATTTTTAAGACACTCACAACGCCCTACCTGAAGGCAAACTCAGGTGAAAATCGGGCACGATAGGAGATAATGAGCAGGATTTGGAATGTCTAGGAAGCTAATCTTGTCTGACATGCAGTTACACATGTGATGGTGTTTTGCTTCCCTCTTTCTCTTACTGAGGCTGTTCCATTCCTGTGGATTAGCCTGATTTCCAGCCACATTTTAATCTTCAATTCAGTTTGAAGATTAAAATGGAAATGCTGTCGGGGCAAAAAAAAAAAAAAAAAAAAAAATCTTGTGTTTCTATCTTCCATATATGCAGTCATTCTTATTTTTATTTCTTGTAATTTAGTGATTTGTACCCAAATTGGCCTCACTTGAGATAATATTTTTTAACTTCAATTCTTTCACCTCTGTTAGAAATATTGCTGTCCCCATTCCTTCCCGTGGAGACCCCCAGTAATGCTCTTGGAGCCATGGAGAACCCGTGGGAGACCACGTTCCCTGTGTTCCTGTAGAAGGAGTACTCGGGATCATAAAGCAGAACTGGGCATGAGCCAGGCTGAGAAACAGTAGGCTCCCATAATGGAAAGAGTTTGTTAGACCACTGGGGCATATTTGTTCTTAAGCCCTTCATCTTTTATTATTATTAATATCTGTGTTACTTAAAAACCAAATTGGGTATACTTGTTTTTAAAACTGGACATCCATGCTTACACAGAGGGGCCCTCTGACACTTAAATTTCTTGTTTAGTTTTTTTTTTAATTGACATTTAAATGGAATATGTATTATGCAGTCATAATTGTTGGACTAATGTTGTTTATTTTTTTAACTAGTTACCTTATTTCCAGGACTCTGGCATACATCTTTAAACAAGATGTATTACTTAATTCACAATGATGTGAATGTTGAAAGAAAAAGGTCTTACAAACAATTTTATATTGTGCCTTCTATTTCTCCACTTGCCTTTATTCTCTCTCTTCCCTGTTTTTCATGGTTTAAGTAAATCGTTTTTAAGCTATAATCATAGGCCTAATTTTCTACTTTTATATCATTTTTTAGTCTTTTAGGAAGATACTCTGTTAGGAGAAATGCTGTAATTTGTTATGGAACAAAGTCAATGGGACAGTAACAACCCTTTTCCATGCAAAACCCCTTCTCTACATAATCTTAAACTTATGTTGCTCTCTTTAAAGTGATAAAGTACTGAAACATGGAGCAGATACAGAAAAATGAATTACAGATTTTTTTAAATGATGGAAATAGGATTTTTGTGCAGTTTACTAACATTTAACATTCTGTACCATGACTGCCTACCAGAGCTGAAGACCAATAGGCTAGAAGCTGAACACTGAAATACTCATCTCATTTTTCTCACGTTTTTTTATTAACAGACATGATATCCTCATGTATTCAGAACTGCATCCCCAGTAACTACCCAAGGTGATAAGGAAAAAAATGCGTTTGTTTTCCAGAAAAAAGAAACATGACCCAAAGGGAATGGAACAGAGAAGCTCATTTAAATAGGAATATAACGTTCTGAGAGGAGAGAGAGAGAGGTCTATTATCATGCTGAGTTTCAATAAAAGTTTTTACTTTAATCACTTGAGTAGAATTACTTCTTTATACCTCAGCAAAACTGAACAGCTTTAATTGTGATGAAATGTGTAGGCAAGCCACACGAAGGAGGAGAAGAGGCTAGGGAAGCAGGGGAGACTGCTGCTGAGTTATTTAGCAAGTGGCAAGTGTTGGAAAGGTGCTTTGGAAAGGAGGTCTTCGTGCTTGAGGTGTCAGGCTATTATCTTCCCTGATGATTTTAACTAGCTTAAAAGTGAATTCTGTGACCTTTGGCCATTTCTTTCTCACTACCCCCTACTCCTTGCCTTTTAAAGGAAATTAAAACTGAAAGAAGCTGCTAGAATGGGGAGGTTCGTTAGGGAAAGAAGCCCCTGGACTCCTCTGTCTGCCGTTCACAGGCTGTCTCCTTTGGCTAGAACGTGCTTTTGTTTTTTTGGGTTTGCACCAGCTCCCGTGATGACGGGTAGCACAGGTGTGCTGAAGGAAGAGGCCTCTCTGAAAACGTGAACGGTTACTCTGGAGAATGCCTGTCTTCTCTGGATATCTCCTGCCCTCATCCACAGAGCTAAAATGAAGCCCTTCTCCCTATTATTGCTGGGTCAATAGGATTTTCACAATCACAAAGTTCACAGGTACATAACTGAAAATTGGAAAGAGTAAAAAGATGAATGAATGAGAAATATGGCCATTCCCATTACAAATTCTCCCCTTTGTCCTCTGTCCACCCATGGACACGGGCAGACACACAAAGCCAAGTCTGTCTTTAAGACGATGAAACCGTGAAGCTCCATTAAAGAACCTCAGTAAGGTCTATTTGTAAGGAGGTCCTGCAAGATTGAAGGAAGACACAGGAAGAGAGGAGAGGCTGTTACTAATCAGAGCAAGAAAGCTGGTGAATTCACCCATCACCAGATCCCTCAAAGAAACCACTGGCAATGTCTGGATTTTTCTGTTGATGGTACTATTCAGAGAAGAAGGAGGAATATCAAACCATTGTAAACCATTTCAGCCCATTCCATGTGCTCCAGGCTAGTGCAGAAAGGTAGCTCCGGTGCTGAGTGTCGTGAGCGGATTCCGCCAGCCTGTAACCCCCTCTCCACTTTCCAATGTGTCTGACCACAGGGCTGCTCTTCACCTATCGTGGTGAAGTTTGCTGACACTCAGAAGGACAAAGAGCAAAGGCGCCTCCAGCAGCAGCTCGCTCAGCAGATGCAGCAGCTCAACACTGCCACCTGGGGGAACCTGACGGGGCTGGGCGGACTCACCCCGCAGTATCTGGCGGTAAGTGTTGGGCAGTGCCCGCAGGGTCCTCACCCGCTGAAACTCTGCAGACTGACCTTTTCCCTCCCTACGCTGAGGCATTCTTTTTCATTACATTTTCAGTCTTGGGGAATTACTGAAATCAGCATTTATGCAGGATATTTTTCCAAGTTAGACTGATTCCATTAAGAACAGGAATAATTGAATTCCTGACTGATGTAGGCTGGGCAAAGTCCCACAGGCTAAACTTCTAACCAGTGTTTGAAAGGTACCCCAACACCCTGGGTCAGAAGACAGGCGGCTGATGATTAAGGATAGGGAGGCCGCTGGGTTCATCCATGTCAGATCAGTGTCGGGCCCCAGCAGGACTTCCGGTGAAATCTCCCGGAACTCTAGTCTACTGTCCTGGCTTTTCGCGGTGGAACCTGATTGGTGAAATCAAGTGTTTCTTACTTCATTTATTTGAAACCAACAAAATTCTATTCTATTTCAAGCCCAGCAGACGCATTTCCTTCAGCCATTCCTTACATCTCATGGTATCTGAACTTGAGCTTTCTGGTTGGTCATGATTTCTTCATGCTCCTTTTTTTCACTTTGTCAGTATCTTTATTGAAACACAGTGACCAGAATTTAAGACAGTCCCCCCAGCAAGATCTGAACAGAACGCAGTAGTAACCCCTAGTGTGGACTTAGGGCCTCTGACTGGAGCTTGAGACTGGGATTTGTAGTAACCATGGCAGATGTGGGCTGGAAGGCAGCCAGTACTATAAAGATTTATCTTTACTTGAATTCCTGCTGAATTGTGCTCTTCTACCCCATTTTTCTGCTTTGGAACATAAGTGCTAGACTTCACATATATTAATATATTTTCATATTGTGGGTTTGGGCCTTTGATTCCAGCCTCTGAGAGGGTGCGTGTGTACACCCCACAGGTCATGGGTCCTAATTCTGTCATTTTACATTTTAACTCTCCCTCTTGGGATCCTATCACCCATTAGCTTACTTTGTAGCAGAAGCTGTGCTGTTTTGTCAAATGATCTTCCCTATTACATTGAAAGGTGAGATTATCCTGCTTATGGGGCAGATGAGGAAAGGGAAACTCAAAGAAGCTAAGTAACTTAACCCAGAATTAACCAGCTTCTTGTGGCCCATGGGACTTCAGTCCTGTGTATCCTGCCGGCTGGCCATACAGCCTCTTTGAGGACTCTGAGGGCTGCTGTGGGTTACTTTCGTCTTTTTAGCTGCCCCACCCTCAGTGCCCAGTGGGGTCTGGTACATAATAGCTCTCAGTATATATTTGATTAATGAATGAGAAGCATCCTTGTCCTGTCTTCCTCTCTCTTAGCAAAAGCATTGGCTCCGCTTACCATCACTTTCTCTACATTTCTCTACCTTTTTATGAAGATACCAGGAGAGATTCTGTCAGCTGTCTTGCTGAAATCTGTATTTGCTCTGCCATTGTTTTCTTGACTTATCAGTCTAAAAATTGCTTTTAAAAAATGAGTCTAGCTTGACTGTGATTTGTTTTTCCACAAATGTGAGCTGTTCGGATGTGCACAGACACTTGGTTTAATTATATGCGCCAGAATTTTTGTCCGAGGCTGACATCACGCTCACCTTCCCATACTCTCGATAAGAGTCCAGCTTCCCATCCACCATTTCTGAAAACAGAGACATGTACACTGTTGTCTTCTAGCACATCTCCTATGCCCCACAGCTCACAGAAGTCTCAGGCACATGTTTTGGGGACCATATCTGCAAGTTATTTCTCTACATGAAGGACAGTAAATCTCAGCCTCCTTTATAGAAACATGTTGTTAAATGCTCTCACTGCATTTCCCTCTGCTGCGGGTGATTCTTTCTTGGCCATGTTTGTTCTCCTCCCTTGCAGTTGAAAAGCCCTTTCTCTGAAGGAGCCCTTGGCTGCCTTGAGTGATAGGTTCTGACCCTGGCTCATCAGAGGTTATCCATGGCAATAATCCTGGGTGGTGGTTTAGTGACACTCTGGGATTTCCACTTACCTCAATAGGTGTTGTTAACGCCTCAAAATATCTTCACAGCTAGCTTAATTTTTAAAAATTTAAAACATTGAATATGAGGAGGAAGTTGGAGTTGATAAGCCTAAGAGAATGCAAACATAACAAATCTAACCAAATAAGGCCTTGCTACTACAATGGACAGTCCCTAGCTTTTCCCACTCTGTCTTCCTCACTCTCTTCTTCTTTCTGTGTGTGGGAGAGTATGTGTGTGGGCAAGGAATCGAGAGGGATGAGTGAACACAGACTTTGTTTGGTTTTACTACCTGTTAGTGTGAAGTCCCATAATATCATTGTACCTGAGGCTTAGGTTGAATCAGCCAAGGGTTCCCAACCCCTGGGCCGGGTTCTAGTACCAGTCCATCGCCTGCTAGGAACAGGGCTGTACAGCAGGAGGGAAGGGGAGGCGAGTGAGCATTACCGTCCGAGCCCCACCTCCTGTCAGATCAGCAGCAGCAAGAGATGCTTGTAGGAGCACGAACCTACTGTAGACTGCACATGGCGAGGGATCTGGGTTGCTTGCTCCTTATGAGAATCTAATGACCTAACGTAGAACAGTTTCATCTCGAAACCTTCCCGCAACCCCTGTCTGTGGAAAAACTGTCTTCCACAAAACTGGTCCTTGGTGCCAAAAAGGTTGAGGATTGCTGGAATCCGCCACTGGTAATTTCACACTGCTTGGTGCTTTTACCTCACTTGAGATCCATTTTTGAGTCAGATCAACGTGTAGGTTTTTCATATCAAGCTGCAAAGACCTGGACTTCCCCAGAGGAACAGTGCTCTAGATTGTTTCACAGAGCCCCAAATAAATGCTGAAAGCTTCCCCCCCACCACCACCCCCGAGATGAAGTCTCACTCTGTCGCCCAGGTTGGAGTGCAAGGGCACCATTTCTGCTCACTGCAACCTTTGTCTCCCAGGCTCAAACAACTTCTCATGCCTCAGCCTTCTGAAAAGCTGGGATTACAGGCATGTGCCACCACACCCAGCTAATTTTTGTAATTTTAGTAGAGATGGAGGTTTTGCCATGTTATCCAAACTGGTCTTGAACTCCTAACCTCCAGTGATCCACCTGCCTTGGCCTGCCAAAGTGCTGGGATTACAGATGTGAGCCACCACACCTGGCTCTGAAAGCTATTTCTAAAATAGTGAGTTAACCTTGTCCCTCGCAGCACATAGTATGACAACAGTATCTCAACAATAAATGTGACAAATCTGTGCTCCTGGTATCCATGTACAGTTGAATACAGGAGACGGCTGTATGTTTTTGTATTGATCTACCTTACCGAAAAGAATAGCAGAGCCCAGCGCTCTGTATTTCACCTCAGTTAACCTGTGGTTCAGCCGAGTTGGACAAGTGCAGCTGCACTCCGGGGGCGCCATGCCTTTCTCTCGTGGCACCCATTCATTCTGCATGGCAGGAAAAATGCATCCCTGAAAGCACTAGTGGAAAACAGACTTTCTCACAAGTAGTTTAATTTTTTTGAAGATTGACATTCACAATGCGTGACTTCGACGTACATAGCACCAGACAATTCTCAGTTTTGACAAGCTGTATGTTTCTCTCTGCAGTGAAGACTTTTAAAACTGCTGCCCATTTGCGTGGTCATACAGTAGGGGCTGCAGCTGTACGGCTGTGAATAGACGCATTTATGTTAGTAGTTACCATGATGATCTTCATGTTGGCACCGGAGTCAGTGAGTCCATGTGCTTCTGATGAAGGGTGAAGAAAGCTGAACGGTGCTGGAAAGTAGAAGATAGGGAGGGAATGGACCCTGATTGACAGAGATGAGTTATGGTAACTGCTAGACTACAGAGAGAAATCATTAGTCACGCTATGTTGGTTTCAATAGATTTAACACCTGGTTGTTAAAAAGAGTAAATTGATTAATTGTTTTAAGGCAGCAGTGTTAGTGAGTTTCCCCAGTGTCTGTGTTTCTGAATAGAGATTAGACATGAATATGGATTTACAGCCCCAGCTCTGGGACCTTCAGCCCATCAGTAGGCAGGAGCAACCAACTCTGTAAATGCAAAGTAAACCGAATTTGTCCCCAATTTAATGAGGAAGTGACTGTGCTCTCACCTTCTCCACCCTGCCCTGACTTTGCACTTGTGTGTTCATCCACAGCTCCTGCAGCAGGCCACCTCCTCCAGCAACCTGGGTGCGTTCAGTGGCATTCAACAAATGGCAGGTAAGTCAGGAAGCACGCCTCTCCTTTTGACTATGCCATTGTCAGAACTTGGGGGTGGTTCTCAGGGCAAAGAGAAGCAGCAGGGGAAGAGAACCAAGAGTGATCATGAAACTTGTTAGCTTTCTGTCTTAGGTGTTTACATTGGAACCTCCTGCTCTCATCTGTCTCTGCTACCTCTTAGGTTACCTGCCCACCTTCCCTATGAGTGACAGCTGTAGAATGAAGGGGATGAGAAATCCCGCTTGGCATCTATATCAACTTATGACTGGATCAACAAATGACTCTCTAGTCATTTGTTGTTTTTATAAATAAGATTGATTACTGGGGGCTTTCCAGCCAGATTCCTGTATCTAGAGCAGCCAAATGATTGACTCCCCTCTAAAATCTGAATAATAGTCAGTAAAGATGTTCTGACCTCCATAATGAAAGGCAGGATTGCAGGCCTATCTTTGATTCGGTTTGCAGCCCCTTGATAACGACAGACAATTAACAGGGTGCCTTTTTTATTGTAGTGCCCCAGTTGACAGAATTGTGCATCAGAAGCTTTTATGTGAAAGTATAATCTTTGTTCTCGAAAAAATCAAAGTGTGACTGTGTTTGAAAGCCAGCTCGTTGAAGGATTCCTTCTTCTAATGAGCTGCGCCAGTAGTAACTGAGGTGCAGTGATTAGCGAAAGGTCACTCCTGCCGAGCCACCTTCCGTGCTGATTTCCCTACCTAACACAGGGCCAGGGAAGGCAGTGGGCGCAATAAATCAGAACACAGGTGCCCATTAACCTGCCATGAGGAACGGTCAGAGAGCCTTTTCCTTGTTTGATTCCAAAAAGGTGGGGGAAGAGGGCGAGGAGAAGAACGGGTTTTTGGCATATTAGAACCAAGCATGGTTTGTTTTAATCAAGGACACCCTGATTCAGTGCGGTGAAACCTTCATGTGTACAATGAAGCTTGCTTGTTTTGTCACCATGAAAATTCCTTTTTTCCACATTTCTGTTTGTGTGTGTGTGTGTGTGTGTGTGTGTGTGTGTGTGTGTGTTTTAATATGTATCCTTGGGGTTTTTTGTTTTTGTTTGTTTCATCTTGAATGAATCTGGAAAAACTTTCAAGGGGGCTTCTCCCTGGGTGTGTTATGTGATCGGCAGCCCAGCCGTTGTGGCCGGAGGGTCCTGGAAACTCATCAGCTGACAGCCTTCCTTGGCCTGCAATAAAAAAAAATACTTCTGAAATCATCGTTGGACTTTAAATCTGTTGGCACTGCCACATGGTTCTGTTGTAACATCGCTTCTGGATTATTAGAAATAATATAACTTGAAATGATAAATAGCTAAATCATTCAGCAGCATCTTTACTTACACAGTTTGGGAAGCTGGCCTTGGAGCTAAGAATCCCATTGAATGGTTAATTTACTTTTAATTCTATGAAAGGAACTGGAGAGAGATAAGTAAAATATTCAGGGGATGTTTTGTGTTTTAAAAGAGAAAGCCTCCTGATTGCAAGCTCTAAAATAAATGCTAATATTTGTCACACTTTCAGCCCATGGGAGATTTGCTTTTCTTCTAACACTATGGACACCGGGATCGAAATTAGGGGCTTTCCTTAGAGGAGGCCTCAGGCTTTCCCACTCCCACAGCTGAATTATGCAGAGCAGGTCACTGGGTCCCAAGGCTGCCGCCAAACGTGGTGTCCTGGGTGGACAGCGTGCCCTGTCACCTCTCATTAGGATGGATGTGCCTGTGCCGCACCAGCCGCTGGTCAGGATGCCAGTGCCTGCGCACTCTGCGTGCTCATTTGAAAACTCAGGGTATCTTGGATCACCTTACAAGGTGCCGAGGAGCAGATGGCTAATTTAAAGGCAATCTGTATATGCTCTGAGCCTCCCAAATTATCCATTTCTCGAATCCTCAATGTGTAAAATTGAGCACACTAAGTCCGCACAGGCTAGGAAATCAAATGCTGGACAGGCCATTCTCGACCATCATTTGGAGTATTCGGAGTATATGGAATATTCTGTCTTCAAGGTGTAGCTGTCAGGCTCTGTAAAGGATACCTTGCATTTATAGTGATCATCAGGTCTCATCTTCATGCGTATTTAAAGTATTACGATTTGGAGTATTTTTTCTACCGGTGAAGGAAGGTTTATATGGCCTCTCTGTCCTTGCCATGAATCTGCACCGGTGTTACACAGTGATCATGGTGGATGGGTGATGGAGGTTCCTTCCTAAGAGAGCTTTCCCAGCTTCCCCAAATGTGAGAGGGGCACCTCTGTTCCACATTCCTCAAAGCCCCTTCCTTCCTTCCCTCCCTCCCTCTGCCCTCACCTTCCTGGATACTCCCTACTCTTTGACTCTTCAGTGTTGTAGGAGGGCATAGCCTGGTGGCTGTCAGACTCAGCCCTCTCCCCTCTAAGAGCTGCTCATGAGTATTCTTGAGTGGATGAGTGAATAGATTTATCACTCAACAGACATAAATCCCCTGTGGAGCTTAAGTTAAATACCCAGTTTTTGAATTAAGAAATTTGTCTTCAGCAATATGTATAAACCAAAAGAACATTAAACTAATGACAGTATCTTTACAAATCAGTTGTTGGGGATTTGGAGATAGTTTGTATAACATAAAATGTAACAAATACAATAGAAAGTGTATGATAGTGGGATTGAAGAAACAAGAGGTTATTTATCCCAAACACCACCTGATGTTACAGTGCTTATTGGGTGATTGATACTGTGTCCCACTTAGAGTGAACACATAAACAACTCAGATGTAATTTTTCTGTATTACATTTTTATATATATATATATATATATATATATATATACACACACACACACACACACACACACATATATGTATAGATATATATGTATATATGATGATCTCTGCATCTAAAATTCAAGTGGTCCAGCCTGGAATACTGTCGCCAAAAGTGAAAAATCATTTCAGAAATGAATAATATTTTGTTATGAACAGCTCTCAAAACATACTGGTCTGTTCTTCAGGATATGAGGTTTATAGCTAGAGTTTAAAATGCCACATTTATATGGATAAAACATTTTCAGTTTCAGGAGAAAATAAAGTAAAACCAAATGGGAAAAATAGACATTTTAGACAACTGGTTACTTAGTAGTTGCATCTATAAAATTGAATGAGACATCGGCTATGCTTTCTTTCCCAAAAACTCTTAAACATTTTTCCCTCAAACTAAAAAGAACTTCAGGTGTGCTTTATGGTGTTTATAAAAGAGGACCTTTACTAAATATGGAATTTAGAAGCAGAAAATGGATTAGGAACATACCTTTATAAACTGAAGGCATTTATATCTACTTTTTGTGCCTCCTTGAAGTTGGTTGGTTTTATTTTCCCTCTTAAAACTTCTAATAAAAACTTGTCCATTTCCCACTCAGCTGTGATATTTGTTCAGTGAATTTCTGAAATCTCAGAAACTTGGGGTCTGAGTTTGGGCTAAGAGCTGGGATTTTTCTTGACAGAGAAAGGGAATAAGAGAAAGTGTCTTCTCTGCCTTTCATTTGTTTATAACAACTATCAACTCAAATGAGCATCGTAATAGAAAAGCTACGGTAGTGTTTTGCCTGTTTGTTTAGCAAAGCTCCTTTTATCATAGCAAGCTAAGGACATGACTATCACTTCGTTACTATGTTACAGTTGAAAAAGGGGAAGATGAAAAGGTTAAATGAGTAATGTGAGATCACAGCACTAGTCAGTGACCTCATAACGAGCAGGATACAGAATTCCTAAATAACACAACAACTTGATGAGGTAGGAACTCTAAGTAGCCCATAGCACAGGCAGGCAACTGAGGCTTAGATGGGTTAGCAGACTTGTCCGCTGGCACTAAGCTAGTAAGTGGCAGAACCAAGCGTCAGATCCGCTCACTGATGCAAACCGTGCTCTGTCTCAGCCCCTTCAGGTGTGTTTGTGTAAACACAGCTGCAGCCCGCGTGGTCTCACGGCCCCCCCGCATTGTTAGAGAGGAAGCCTTCAGGGATGGTAACAGGAAAGCTGCCTCCCTTCATCCTGAAAAACATCTTGAGTTTATCACAAGTGAGTTTTTCTTTGTTAGAGGGGATTTTTTTTTTCTAGGCTAAGGAATTGTTGCTACACCAGTTACAGAGGTTCTAAAGCTGCGGCGGAAGTGTCTTTTGATGAACAGGAGGAAACAGCTTCGTTTTCATTCCGATTCTGAGTAAAGCAAGTAGTATAGTCCCTTCCAGAATATCTGGTCTAAGTTTTGAAGGTAACAATAAAATTGTAGAGTGCAAATATTTGCTTAAAACCCTGAAGCAGTTCTCCTTTTATCAATTTGAGATCTGTTCTCTTAGAAGAGTGTCTTGGTGTCTGGCACAAGTGGAGAGGAGGGGAAACACTTGCAAAAACAGCGTATCGGAGGTCTGAGAATCTGGAATTGGCGGTGCTCCCGGAGTTGGGAAGTGTGCTGGCTACATCCACAGAGACCCATGCAGAACTTGGTTCCTCCCCAAGCTGAGTCTCCAGCAGTCCGCACTGCAGACACTTCCTGCAAATGTGCTAATAGGCCTTATGAGAACGTTCTATAACCACCCATCTGTCACTTTTTAACAGACCTGATTGGCAAGCACTTGTAACAACTGACATCTGTTCGTGCTTATTGATATGCAGATTTATGGTAATTGCTATGAACAATAAGACACAAAATTACCTAAGGTGAACATTAAATTAAATTTTCATGCCCTTCTCCTTATAAATTTTTTTAATGTTAAGTTTCAAGTAGGCATATTGCGCATCTGTTTTGTACATAATTTCTTCATTTTGAGGATTTTTTTCCCCAAGTACTGAATGAAAAGTTGAATCCCTGTATTCCCTACTTTATTTGCCATCTTGATATCCCATTGTTAGAGTTACTAAAACTTATTTAAATATGTTTCATGTTCAGTCACCTGGATTATTGCCCCTGGTTCGAGAGGTGCCCATCTGAGCATTGACTTCATGAAGTTAATGTCATTTTTCTTC